CAACGTCATGCTGCCCACGAACCGACACGGGTAGGTCAGCCTTTTGCTGAGTGGGCTATCGGATGAACCAGCCAGTCAGGCGTCGGTTGCTCTATCACTTGAGCCAGCTTTCTGTTGTCCAATCATCTTTGATTAGCTTTCTGGTAACTTAAAGGAGCGCTCCGCGATAACCCATGAAAACATAAAAGGTAGTTTGAGAAATTAGCACTGTCCGTAATGGACAACCTTGTAGCATTTCCTCGGCGGAAAGCTTAAGGTAAAGGTGTTAAGGCGCAATGTTGCCCCAGTAGCACTTCCCTTTCTTCAGTGACCCCGCCGACAGACCAAGCCCGCCTTCTATCCAAAAGGTGCTACCGAACTATTAGTATCAAACACTACAATGTGCCTTGTGGAATCATAGGGTTCATTACAAAGACTGAGTCGGCTGGACTCCTCCCAGCACGCGGTCTTCAGGCCTTTTACCCACACAATTGTTAGAGGCTATAGGGGTCCTATAAGTGGCGTTTCCGACGTACTCAGCACCGCTATCTGTGTACGTTCCTTAACGAGAACTGTGTCTTAAGAAGTGTCTACAGTCACAAAGGGGTTTAAGCAAGTTTTCATGGACGAGGGTCCGAAATTTCCTTCCCAACTAAAGTTATGGGACGTTCGTTGCTCTAGCAGACAGGCTTTATTTCCGCGAGCAGCCATCAGGAAGCGAAGAATAGTAGGCCACGCCCACAGACTTGCTAATGAGGTCCTTTTCAGAAGATCGCTGTGAGATGCGTCGTGATACCGGCGAAGGCAATGAGCTTGTCGCGAGATGGTACTACGACAAGAACGCCAAGCAATGCCGACGGTTAGTGGTCCTGACGAGGAGTTTTCAACTATATACCAATAACTAGTGAATAGTAAACTGTTCAGGTTCCTTTACAAAGGTCTTCGCGGTAATATGAACAACTTCGTGACAAAAACCCAATGCGTGGATGCGTGCGAGACAAGTGAGTTTACTCAGAACGTACGCCTTTGAGTACGATATGACCAGCGCTTGGCGTGTGAGCGAGCCGTCATCGGGTGCGACCGGAAATAACACGACGAAAAACTGTCGACGGAACGCCAAATCGTGACATGCTGGCGTTTTGTGTACCCGAAACCTGCAGAAAAACACCACGAAAATATGCAGACTTATTTATGAATTTCCTTAGTCCATTCATGGGTGACGATGGGGTTTCTATATCTATTAGACCCCCAGCAAAGATTTCTTCATACTGTGTAAAGTGGTGCACTTTTCTATCCCTATCTTTGAGCACTTGCAGCTAGTCGTCTGAGATTTTGGAATTCTACCAGAGGAGGGGGCCGGGGAGGAGAGAGGAACTCAGGTTAAACATGGTATCGAGAGAAGTATTAATTACAGGATGAAACTTTTACACTCTCATACTGGTTTGGAGTCAATTAAAAAAAAACCTGTATAGGCGGAAACGTCTGTTGGCTGGACTCAATTGACCTGGTTGACCTGGGACTCGACTTCTGAACTATGAGCGTGGCAGGAGAAACCCATGGCCATTTCGTACAGTATCTCTGTCTGCGGTAGTCGCTTCCATAAACTTTCGAGATTATTACTAAATTCTTCAAGCAGGGGTTGGCAGACAGAATTTCGCTCAACCGGTCATTGGGTTTTGGGCGCACATTTTATCACAGCTGACATCGTCGTAATCAGCCCGGGCGGTGCCATTAGGCATGGAATGAGGTCGCATTTTTACTCTCAACTTGCTCTCTGCTTTCTTCCTAAATCGACCACTAGCCGATCACTATTGCACGAGTCAGCCGGAGGCGGGCTTATTCCCGCCGCCTACCGCCCCGTCTTATTGAGATGACATAATTTATACTTATGGCAATATTGTTTGTTGAGAATTTAGCTTTCTGTTCAGTTGCCATCATCGATTCTACAAATCCGTGCCGTTTCGGGCATCCAGCCAGGCATACTAATCAGTCGAGGGTCTTATGTGGCCCGAACGATACGTCGTCATGTCCTGCTAATTACTATTGCCACTTTGGAGAGGATCCAGAAACTACCGTATGCTGCGAATCAAGTGGACGTGAGCTTTTCTAACATTATCTCTGTGAGAAGGCGGCGAATTAAAAGTTCTCAAGTGAAGAAAAGTGGTTTTGTGAGAGAGCCTCGGGTGGCCGATCCAGTGAAAAACACTGCGCTATGAGCATTGGGCTGGAAAGGGGGACAAAGAAGAAGGAGCATAGTACATCAAAACTGGCGGGCCCCTCCTTGTCGTACAGTAGTGGGAGGAGCATCACTAAAGGAGACATGGTTGGTCTCCGCCCTATTCTCCGCCCATTCGCTATTGCGGAACGTCCCTTCAGCAGTCAAAAGTTGACCAGCCAAGGTTTTGCAAGAGGCTGCTGGTTTCCAGTGATCGATTCAATCAAAAGCGCATTAGGCCATAAGCACATGGGCCTGGGGATGGGGAAAAAGATAGAGGTGCGCTCTTCCTGTCGTGTAACAAGGAGGGAAGCTGCAATGAAGAAGAAGTAGTTGTCATGGGTCTCTGCCCAATTCTCCACCCATCCTTTATTAAGGGGAGGTTCTTCAAGAAGTATTTGACAGTAATCGTTCCTGAAGTTTGCAATGCACAGTGAAAGCATCACCGTCCGTTGTTCCAGCGTTCTGTGTATTTTTATTTCCAGAATGAGTTTTGTTGAAGGGATAGAAATGTATTGACTAAAAGTCCCGCGTAGCAAGGCAGGAATGCCAGATCCAACGGATGGCACGCATACTAGTAACGTAATTGTGAAAATGAAACCCTCCTCCTTTCTTTTATTGATGGCGCCCAATTTTCAGTGACTGATCCGTGCCTTCTCGCTTTGAACGTCGGCCAAGGAAAGGCACTTTTGAAGAGGTAAGCGGCTATTTCTTACATGGGTCAGTACTAAAAATTAGTAGTGCTAAAGAATCATGAGGTTTTTTTCAGATTTTACTACAACACTTTCTCAAAACGCTGCGTTGAGTTTATATATCGCGGTACGAAAGGGAATGAAAACAACTTCCTTACCAACAAACAGTGCCAGGAAACATGCCAAAGTAAGTTGAGACCAGCCTCATCTAGAGTTCAATATACGTTAGTCAATCAATATCCTAACGTCAATTTGGGTAACTGTCAGTTAGAACACATTCCAGAAGAACACATTTCAGAATGGAGTAACCCATGTCCAACAGATATCAATTTTGCACAGAAGAAGGACTGCTCTCTGAATGGAACCGAATGCGGTGCCGGTGAATGGTGTCATGTCGGATCATCACAGACGACAACGGTCTGCTGTCCAGGAGGTATCTATTTGAAAATTACCAAATATGCAACGAGTAACGATATTCCATTGCACTTGGCCCCAGTTCAAGTTACGGATTGGAAAAGTCACTTGAAAATGCTAGAATTTGAATGGCTTCCAATCTGGGTATATCCCCTTTTCCTTGTAATGATCGATTGCTTGTGGACTTAAAGACACATTTCACGCTTATAGCATGAGCGGGATCACTTGGATAACGGTGTCCCTTGTTGGGTCACACCTTCCAAAACTGTAGGGGGCACGCTACATAATCAGCGAGAATCGTGTCTTTAACCAGGCAAACTCCAAGACATCTAACAACACCAAAAATATTTCAATAAATCGATTCAGCTTCATCGGATCCATGTTCTCAGCCAGTAGAGTCTGGTGAAGGCAGTATGGAGTTGCCTCGTTGGTACGCTGACCACGCATGATCAGTCCTGCATGAGACAATGCAAGCCATTCGTGTACAAGGGTGCCAAAGGAAATCAGAACAATTTCCTCACAAAAACGCTTTGTGAGCGGAAATGCAAGCGTAAGTCTTTACTTGTCTTTTGTTCCATTGCCTAAGCTAACTGTGACGGAAGGGTGGAATCGCTGATCGTTAATCAGCCCTTTTTGAGATGCGTCATACATCCTACCTTAATATAAAAGCGCAATAGTATTTAGGCACAAATGCCATTTAAACAACTTTTTTAGGCCTGACTGGTTTAAAAAAACCGTGTTTTATCCTTCTGCATAAGTCGCTCGCATTGGTCGGCCAAGGCCTAGAACTCGCTGTTTATGTGACAGGCTCCGCTTTTCATTACATCAGCTAGCCCTCTTCATTTTTTAGAATCTATAAGAATCTGCCCCACTAGCCTTCAGTGATTTAGCGCAAGAAATTGCCCTTTATTTCCACCTGATTTTAGGCGAATGCAAATCCCCATGTGGTACTGGGATCATGCTGCTCACACCGACGAAAGAGCCTCGTCTGTGCAGTCCGACCTCACCGTGTCCACAGTCACATTGGTGCCATGTCGGCCTCACTCCAGAGACCACCGTATGCTGCTCCACCGGTGAGAAATTGAGCAGGTCTCAACTATTTTCCTATATACTTGAAACTTGACTTCAGTACCCAACACTTGTGAGCTGCCAC